TATTTATTTATTTATTTTTTTAAATTTTTTTTTCAACGTTTTTTATTTATTTTTGGGACAGAGAGAGACAGAGCATGAACGGGGGAGGGGCAGAGAGAGAGGGAGACACAGAATCGGAAACAGGCTCCAGGCTCCAAGCCATCAGCCCAGAGCCTGACGCGGGGCTCGAACTCAGGGACCGCGAGATCGTGACCTGGCTGAAGTCGGACGCTTAACCGACTGCGCCACCCAGGCGCCCCAAGAGTGCCATTTTAAACAGGGTGGTCAGGGGGCGCCTGGGTGGCTCAGTCAGTTGAGCTTTCGACTCAGGTCATGATCTCACGGTTCGTGGGTTTGAGCCTCACATTGGGCTCCGTGCTGACAGTGTGGAGACTGCTTGGGATTCTCTCTCTTTCCCCCTCTTTCTGTCCCTCCCCGACTTGCATGAGCACATTCTCTCTCTCTCTCTCCCTCAAAATAAATAAACTTAAAAAAAAACACCACAGGGTGGTCAGGGGAGGCCCCTCTGAGGATGTGATTGAGATCTGAAGTTAATTAGCAAGTGAGTCATGAAGAAAGGGCATTGGAGGCAGAGCGGACAGCCAGTACAAAGGTCTGGAGGCAAGCATGTGAAGAGCTTCAAGGAGGAGACCCGCGTGTCTGGGATGGATGATGAGGTCAAGGAGGACCTTGGCCTAGGGAGGAGGACATACGACATTACTTTCAAGGGCCCAACGTAGTGATTCAATATTTGTGTCTATTTAGAAATGATCACCTCAGTAAGTCTAATCAACATCTGTCACCACAGATACAAATTTTTCTTAATCTTGTGATGAGAGCTTTTTTTTTTGAGATTTATATTTTGAAGTAATTTTGGCATGAGCACGGGGCTCGAACTTACAACCCCAAGATCAAGAGTCGCGTGCTCTATTGATTGAGCCAGCCGGGCACCTCCTATTATTATTATTATTTTTTTTTCACATTTTATGTTTATTTATTTTTGAGAGAGAGAGAGACAGACAGATAGTGACGGGGGGTGCGCAGAGAGAGAGGGAGACACAGAATCCAAGACAGGCTCCGGGCTCTGAGCTGTCAGCACAGAGCCTGACATGGGGCTCGAACTCGTGAACCGCGAGATCATGACCTGAGCCTAAGTTGGAGGCTTAACCGACTGAACCACCCAGGCGCCCCTCTTTTCACATTTTCTGTATCCATTCGTCTGCTGACGGGCAGTAGGGTTGTTTCTGTTTTGGCTACTGTAAATAATGCTTCCATGAGCATGGGAGTGCAGATAACTCTTGGAGACACTGGTTTTGTTTCCTTTGGATATATACCCAGAAGTAGGATTGCAGGGTCATATGGTATTTCTATTTTTAATTTTTTGAGAAACTTTCATACTGTTTATCATTATAGCGATCCCAATGTGTATTCCCACCAACAGCACAGAAGAGTTCTCCACTGGGGGGCTGGGGGGTGGGCTTTGAGCAGAGAGGGACCTGGTTTGATCTTTTTGGTTCTTTTATTATTTTTTTTAACGTTAATTTATTTTGAGAGAGAGAAAGAGAGAGAGAGAGAGAGCACCAGCGGGGAAGGGGGAGAGGAGGGGGACAGAAGATCCAAGGTGGGCTCTGTGCTGACAGCAGCCAGCCTGATGCGGGGCTTGAACTCCCAAACTGTGAGATCATGACCTGAACCAAAGTCAGAAGGTCAACCGACTGAGCCACCCAGGTGCCCCTGGTTTGATCTCTGTGCCCCTTGGGATTCTCCTCACTCTCTGCCCTTCCCCCACTCATGTTTGCTCTCTGTCTCAAAAATAAATAAACTTACAAAAAAAAAAAAAGGATCCCTCTAAGACCAATAAGTGAAAGGTTGATAGGAAACTTCTTAAGAGAGAGATCAGGACCTGGCCGCAGTACATGGGGCCATGGATTACTGCGACATGATGTACCAGGAAAGGCCCCAGCACCTCCAGTGGGGAGATCTTGCCAGAATGAGCCCAAATCTGGCTGAATTCCCATCTTACAGGAAATTCCTGGAGTAGAAAGACATCTCGAGTGCCCCCACAAAGATGCTTTCAGTCAAATCCAGGATGTGAAACCTTGCACACGGCAAGTGACCTAAGTTTCTTTAAAAAACGAGCAGATGTACACATGTTGAGGGGTGGCTATAAATCTCAAAGACCAGAGACGTTCAAATGGGATCCTTGTTTGAACAAACTGAACTATAAAGGACCCTTAGGAGGCCATCAGGGAAAGGTGAATATGGAGACCGCAGAATTGGTAATTGTGAGCAGGGGTGAAATGGGTGTTTGTTGGGACTTTTTTTTTTTTTTTATTTCTTTTTATTTATGTTGACAGAGAGAGGGAGAGAGAGAATCCCAAGCAGGCTCCATGCTGTCTGCGCAGAGCCCAGTTTGGGGCTGGATCCCTTGAACCGTGGGACTAGGACCTGGGCCTAAATCAAAAGTAGGATCCTTAACTGACGGAGCCACTCAGGCGCCCCTGTTGGGACTTTAAAAAAGTAAAATTGAGGGGCGCCTGGGTGGCTCAGTCGGTTGAGCGGCCGACTTCGGCTCAGGTCATGATCTCGCGGTCTGTGAGTTCGAGCCCCGCATTGGGCTCTGTGCTGACAGCTCAGAGCCTGGAGCCTGTTTCAGATTCTGTGTCTCCCTCTCTCTCTGACCCTCCCCCGTTCATGCTCTGTCTCTCTCTGTCTCAAAAATAAATAAACGTTAAAAAAAAAATTTAAAAAAAAAGTAAAATTGAAAGGGGGGAATTATTGCTTAGTAGTAAAGGGTCCTTTGGGGCGGGGGGATAATAAAAATTTTTGAATATAGTGGTGATGGTTACACAACACTGTGACTATATTTAATGCCACTGACTTAAACACTTACGAATGGTTAAAATGATAAATGTTATATGTATTTTACCATAAACACACACAAAACTGAAGACCACACTAATTCTACATTTTCACTTTTGGTCCAACAATTTTTTTTTTTTTTCCGTTTATT